GGGCGAAAAAGACTTATTTTACTCAATTTATGTTGTATACAGCAAGAGAGGAAAACAAAGATACAAAGATAAAATCTAAACCTGCTTTTAAACACAGACTAATGAATTTTTACACAAAAACTTTTGATAATCTTAATGTTACAATTCAAGCACGGACAATTTCAACAGATATTATAAAAAAAGGATATTTCAATACTTAGGCAACTCGGATATACGATATGGAAGCAATAATGATACACCAAATGACGAATTTACTGACACAATAAATCTATTAACAACAGATGAAGATTTTAATGAAATATATAGAGAAATGACAGAATTTTATAATGATATTGAATGTGTCAAAATATTATCAGTGGAAGTGATGAATAAAAACGGCGAAAAGTTTAATATATTAACCGAAAACTTAAGGGATGCTACAAACGTATCAATTTATCATAAATATATACACACACCTATTAAAATGAGTGAGGGCACTATACAAAAGGCAATCAAGAAAGGTAATTATATAGAGAATGAATGTTGGATAAATTCATTAACTGATTTTTACAGTGATACAATCATGAATGAAAAAACCCGCAACAGATTAACAAGAGACAAAATTATTGAAATCATAGGTAGGGAAAACTTTAGTGAAACCGGAGCGACAATTAGGGAAATGGAAGCAGTATTCAAAAAGTTTAATATTCAAGTTAGAATTTTCAATTTTGTAAATGAAGTTATTTATAAATATGAACCAGAAAAAAGAAACCACCATATAAAAACTTTTTACGCAATGGTGAAGAATAACCATATTTACACATTAAACTATGATTTATGTAAGATACAACAAAAGCAATTAATAACAAAACTACCTACTATAAAAGCACACACTGATTATTATATAAATGAAAGAGAAGAACCTCCGCAATACAAAATGATTAAATGTATAGATGATATACTTAAAATTAAAACTGATGATAAAACAAAGGAAATATATTTAGTGCCTGAAAATAATAATTTGGCAGAATTATTATTCCAGTTGTTGAATATTGGATATGAACCCAGAATTAAATACACAGGTATTATTGATGAAATAAGATTAAGATTGAACAAGATAACATATATCATAAAAACTCAAAATTTAATTAAATCTTCCGGCGATGGATGGGTTGCAGTGAGCAATGAAACTACATACAACAATATGAACAAAGCAATGTTTAATTTCAATAAATCCTTATTCATATCATCGCATAAATCCTTTTATAACGACATTGATATTAAAATATTAAATGAAACAAGAAGTATAGCACCTTCGGGTTTATTATCGAGTAATATTAATTTAGTTTATAAAACAGAAATAGATGTAAATAAAGCATTTACCAAAGGTTTTTTAAATATTAGGGAAATACCAGTATTTAACCAGTTTGATCATTGGAAAAAATACAACGATGAAATTAAAATAGATGAACTCCATGAATTAACTTTATATTATGTTGAAACTATAGATACAAATGTAAGACCATTAAAAACAACAATGGACAGCATTAAGGAACTAATAGAGAAAAATCAACACACCAAGCAGATGATATATTCTATTGCATATAGTAAAGGTATTGACGTTGCTACTTATATAGAATTTCGTAAAACACATGATTTAAGTTTGTTTTTAAATCCTGATGAATTAAAACAAGCAATTAGAAACATTGTAATAAGTGGTAATCACAACTTATTTTTCAACAAAAAATATAATCTAGTATATGGCAAGTTTTTGAAGGAATTCATCAATGAGAATAAGACACACAAAATCAATATTGTATATTATAAACAACCTTCATTTATTCATAAGGTTGAATATACAAATATTATTAATGAACTTTTACAAACAAATATAGATGAACATGACGAAGCATTAGATAAACTAATTAAAAAGTTAATAGCAAATGTAAATTTTGGATTATTAGAAAAAGGAGGCGCTACAGCACATCAAAGTATTTTATTTAAAAGTATTGATGAAGCAGTCCATTATCAAACAGAATACGGAGGTAAAATTAATAAGTTATCGCATATTATAAGCGAATATCCCGAAATGATAACCGAATATGACGACGAAGGAGGCGCAACTACAACATATTATGGATTTGATGAGGATGAATGGGATGTAAAGGCATCATATTATATATTGAATTTGAAGGATAAGGCAGTATTAAGAAACGGATATAGATATATTAAAGAACTACTTTTACAGCATCACAATTTTAAAATGAACCAAGACTTTAAGACACTAATAACTAATAATATTGATATATATAGTGTAAAAACAGATGCTTTTGTAATTGATACATGCAATGAAGAAAAAACAAAGCAATTATTAGAATTTCATGATGATATAGGAGGTTGGAAAGTTTCAAAGCAGAGAGATGAAATTAATTTACCTACAGTAAAATTTAACGTTGTAAATAATGAATTAATAAAAATACCAGCTTATGAAAGTAAAACTATTGATATTAAAGATGAATACGACACTGATAACATTATAGAGATTGTTAAACAGAATAATCCTATTATGATCAGAGGTGAACTACCGGGCACAGGAAAATCATATATATGTCAAAAAATGGTTGATAAAAATTATAAGGTAATTTTTATTTGTCCTACTAATAAACTATTACAGGCATTTGAAGGAGAAGCAATGACGATAAATAAGTTCTTTGGTATTAATTATGGAGATGCTAAATTAGAACCATTTGATTTTACAGAATTTGATGTAATAGTATTTGATGAAATCTATTTTAGTAATTTAAATATATACTGGAGAATAAAACAATTTGTAGAGCAAAATAAGCACAACAAAATTATAATAGCAACAGGAGACACCAAGCAATTAAAACCAGTGCAAGAAATAACAAATACTCAAGACTATGAATTATACACTGACAATATTATAGATAATATTTTTACACATAATATAATATTGAAAGAATGTAAGAGACTTAACACACAGGAAGATAAGGATAAACTCAAGAATATAAAGTATGATATTTTTATTAATAAATTACCAATTAAAACTATTATTGAAAAATATTTTGAATACACCACAGACATAAGTAGTTCCAAAAACAACATAGCATTTTTGAATACAACCTGTAAAAATGTATCAAATGAAATTAGAAAGTTAGAAAATAGAAAGGATGAATATGAAGTAGGGGAATTTTTAATTTGTAGAGAATATACTAAAACTAAAACATCAGTTTTTAATGTAAATTTCAAATATAAAATAGTTCATATTGGAAGTGATGGAATATTTACATTAAAAAATGTAAAAACCGAAATTTTACAATCCGTAGAAGTTGCTAAAATAAGAAGCAATTTTATATTTTCTTCTTGCTCTACATGTCATTCTACTCAAGGTAGTAGCATTGATGACACCATAACAATTTTTGATTATAATCATTTTTTGGTAAAGAATTATCCAGAATGGATTTTTACAGCGGTAACACGTGCTCGTGATTTAAACAAAGTCAAATTTTATAAATATACAAAGGATGTTGATGATGTATTTAATCAAAAATGTATTATGAGTTATTTTGAAAGGAAAATTTTGAATTATAAGGAACAAGACAGGAAAGCAAAAAGAAGCATACCTAGAGAAGGTTATGTAAATACTCAATGGTTTCTAGATAATATAAATAATCAATGTAATTACTGCGGATGTGGTTTTACTATTGATATGAAAAATGGTAATATCATTACAAATCTAACAGCACAACGAAAAGATAATGAATTAACTCATACAATAGAAAATATCATCCCATTTTGTAAATTATGTAATTGTAGTTGTAAATGATAATAATGTTTAATTTAATTATGATAATATAATTATAATTTTAATTTATTAATTTAATTTTAATTTAAAATTAAAACTCTTGTAAAAAGTATTTAAAGAAATAGTTTATAATACTATTATATAGTTTGATGAGTGATACAGTCCACGATGCTAAAAATATATTGAAAAAAAGGTTTATGAGTTATAAATGCAAAGACTGTGAAATGCTAAAATTACCAATTGAACGCGGTTTTACAAATGGCGTTTGTAATAATATTTATCAATACATGATATGCAATAATTGCAATAGAATTATAAACAAAATTGATGATATGAATAACAAAGATATTGATATTATAAATAATGAAACTCTTGATGATGATTTAGAAATATTTGTGTTTATTGTAATGAATAATTTCTTAACTATAGAAGGGTTTGATAATTTACTAACTGAGTGTGATGACGAAGGATATAATAATGATTTTATTTTTAAGTATTATAGTATGGTAAAAAAAAAAATATAACGTTTCTTTTAATATTAAACGTTTAAAATATGTTATATTGTTTGACTTTTCAAATGAGTTTTTAAATGATGAGTATAAAACTCACGAACTTAGATATACAATAACACGTGCAATTGGAATAATGGGAATGTTTAGAAAACAAATAGGAAGTAATATTTATAATGAAACAACGTGTGATAAAATAATAGAAAGAATTAAAGAAGAATGGTGCCCGTTAAAAAACGAATGAACATAACCTTGCCCATAATATGTCTACAAAAGTTGTGATAAAATTTATTGTAAAATAATTTATCATAATTTTTGGAATAATATTTTTTGAAAATTTTGTAAAATTATATTTTGTAAAATTATATTATTATTATTTTAAAATTTATATTTTTTGAAAATTTATTTTGTAAATTTTTGTAAAATTTACTTTTATTTTTTTTGTAAAATTTATTTTTTAAAATTTATTTTTTTAAAATTTATTTTTTAAAATATATATTTTAAAATATGGATGAACTTACTAGGAAATTGCCTGCTTTGAAATGTTGATTTTTGAAAATGTGCTGTTTGAGGTGCTGTTTTAAAATGTTGCTAAAAGTGTGGGGAGGACCCTAGGTTTTTTTATAGAAAAAAGATGGGCAAGGTCTAGTCTAACTTATACAACCCCATGCGCAGCCCTCCCTTTTCGCCTCGCTTCTTGTCCTCCTGGTTACACACCTGCACGCTCTCTGAACATCCAAGAACGAAAATGCAAATCCCCAGCTGCGCTTTTCAGGCAGTGAGGGTCAAACATACTCCACCTCCCAATTCGGAGTGTACGCAGTCTCTGTTTCAGCAAAAACCCAACTTGAAGCTTCATTACGCAAAGAATTTCTTGTTACAAGCGCCCTACCCAAGTCAAGGATCAGATGGGGCTCTGGTCCGGCGGTGCCTGGAGGTCGACTCTTGAAAATCTGAGTGACAAACTTACGGGATGGAATCACCCGAAGCGCTTTGTCTTTTTCGTAATGCCAATCCGCAATAAAGAAGCTCCACCACGTATTGTGTCGTTCACGCGTTGCGCAGGACACAAAGGCATAGCTGGTTGTTGGAGAATGCTTCCATCGGTCAGGGTCAGGCCCGGCCGTTGCGAGATAGCAGCCAACATCAGACCCGGAAGCCTTCCTCAAACGAAAGACTGGCACATCAAACTCTTCCCCCGGTTTGATTGCTTTGTACTCGATCTCCCACTCCACAGGTGCTGCATGGACCACCACCCACGTTGAGAGAGCGTCGCGCTCACCATTGGTTATCCAAAAGCCATCTCTGCGGGACGACAGGTATCGTCCTAGATCTTGTCCCCTCGCTTTGGTGATTCGCACACGGCCATTGCGTAGCCACCGCACACAGCTGAAGCGATAGTATGGCGCTGTGATGGTGGCCGCAACGTCGCCACGATGGAACGGGCCGCACCCGCAGCCGGTGACAACATCGCTTCCCCACGATCCGAGTGGGCAAGGCACGGGTTTGCACTCGGGAAGAACTGGCAGACGTGGAACAAACATCATCGTGTTGTCTTCTGGGTGGCGGACGACTGCCAGGCTGCTGCACGAGAGATTCTCAAACCCAACGGGCCTGCTGCCTGGCACACATGTGTACTTACAAGGATGCCTGCGCAGCGCTTCTGTCTTACCCCCCAGGCGGCAAGGTTTGCACTTTATCTTCTGCAGGTTGGGAACGCTCATGCTGAGCGCTCTGGTGAACCTTGAACGAATAGGAAAGAGACCCCCATCCTGGCAAAACGCCGGGAATGGCGCAGCTTCGGCAAAACATAGCCGAACAGCCTCCACGTCTGTCAAGGTTGCGTTGTCGAGAACACCCGCGAAAAAAGTGAAGGTCAGACTGTCGGGCACGTCACTACCTGCGTCTGGTTTCAGCACAATGCCATCAGGCGGCTGTGCGGTGCACTTGCTTGAAAGTGGCTGCACTGAAAGCTGATCCTGCAGTCCAAGATAGCTGCCCTTCACAAGCACGGATACGCGGGTCTGACTGCGAATGACATCAATTTCGGCAGTTGTCTCCTGCGCGCTCAAGGTGCCCCATCCCATCTGAGCACATGTCGCATTCAACCAAAGGCCATCTTGGGTATCTTCGGCAAATCCATCCATCATGCGGATCAAACCTGCCAAGTTCGCTTCTTGGAACTCCTTCAACTGGTGCACAAATGGCGCCGAAAGCGGAACGCTCAACTCTGCTTCCTCCAATCTGTCTGGATCTGCATCTGCCACAATAACCTTCAGATTGTCCGCCACTGCTCGAGATGTAGCGCCACGAACAGCATTCCATTGCCCCGAATTTCCGCCTAGGATTTGACGTTCTCCTTCCAAAACTTCGGCAGAAAAAGCGTCTGTCCACTCCTGCGCATGCGCCAATGATGGACCGTACTGCGCCGTTCGCACAAAATTCACCAGAAGAGTGAGGTGTCTGTAGAAAGCAGTTCCGAAATAGCGCCGGTACGCTAACAGCATGTCCCTGTGCATCTGCTGGTACCTCTTGCTGGCACCATTGACCACCCACACAATTTGTTTGACAGGACGGCCTCTGTTCCTGCGGTTGAGCTCATGCATGGTTCTGCTCCACTGTTCCTGGTCAAACGCTTCTCCCCGCGTGTCTCTATACCCTGGAATGTCAAAAACATGTACACATGTTTTACTGCAATCGCCGAAGGCTCTTTGCACCACCTCTGTGACCTTACTGGTGTGTGACTTTAAACTGTTGGAAGGTTCGCACTGCGCGCTATTTGTGATATACCGGCAAACGGACGACTTTCCAGCACCAGTGAGCCCAACCAAAATGATGCGTGATGCGCTGCTGTCACATTCTGCAGGGGTTGACGGGCATCTTGTCTTGATCTCCTTCGCGTATTCCTCCTCCAACAACTTGCCCCTCCGCTCACGAAGCACCTTCATGGTGTGAGAATCCTTGAGATCAGCGGCCCAGTCAAAGTCACGCTGAATGCGACGGAGTTGGTTCAAAACAAAACCTTGGTTCTGCTCGACCTGCATCGAAAGCTGGTATGTCTGGCTCAACTGAAACCGGAATACAGTCTGCTGACCGGCATCCCTCGGCGCAACCTTTAAAGTCATGTTGACATCGCATGATCCAGGGCATTCGGGAAAAAACTGTCCATTCTCCTGCCAGAAGCACCGAATCTCTTTTGCTGTGGCTTGCTGCAATCGACTCGAACAGGAGGGCGTCACCATTGCACCGCCACCCTCAAAAGGTTTCAGAGTCATCTCGTATTGTAAATCCAACAACGCCCAGTCAGCTTGAACCGTAAAGCTTACAGCTTGAGGCCCGGACGTCTGCTGGGTAAGCCGCGCTCTATTGACGTGCCACGATTGCCAGGGCTGGTGCTTCCAATCACCAAGCAGGTCATCCCGCAGCCAAGCGCGTACTTGGCTCACTCCCAGAACCAGAAATGTAATCGTCTTGTCGATTATGCCTGTCATCCGAATACTAGCAGGCAACCCAAACTGTTCAGGCAAAAGCGTGAAGTTGTGCACGGCTGGCGCCTTGAACCGCGCACGCTGAATCTGCCACCTCTCATTTGCGCCGCCAGGTGGATGCCAAGCTAATCTTGTAGCGAGAGTGGGATCTGGCTGCAGGAAGAGGGTGACTGGCACAGTTTTGTCTTCAGGCAGAATGTAGTAATTCACGGGCAAAGTGTTTGCAAGCAAACGATCCACTTTGATCAGTCTACCCCCAATAGACTCACAAGTCAAAAGCCGAGGCTCGAAGGAAAATCGGTACTGCTTGAGCAACACACCTGATGCGACGGAGAGGGTCGCGACAGATGCTAGAACGAGAAGAAGATGAGTACAGGTGGAATATGGCCGCGCCGCCATGAGCTTCGGGAAACCTGCCAGTAAATACCCAAGATCGCCGCTCTCTTTGTCGTCTTCTTTCGCAAGCTGACTTGCCTGCACCGTCTCTTGTGAAAAGCTTGTCCGACTGGGATTTGGCGGCTGGCTCATATGCACCATTTCAACCATGCTCTGTTCGTTGCAATTGTCTGGCCGCCTCTGCGAGCGAGACCCAAAACTGGTGCGGCTTTGCCCACTTTGGCTTTGCTGGGGACGATCCCCTTGCCTGGTCAGGAAGTTACACAGCGGGATCTGTTCTTGGAACGCGCTTTGAACTGCTGACCATGGCAGCAGGGGACATTCACAAATTGATGAGAGACTTAGAAAGTACCACACCAAAGGTAAAAGGCACATCATAACCTCGTGCTGGCCGACCTCCAAAGCATCCTTCAGGTTTCCGACGACTGGGTTCCAGTCGGCCACAAACAAATCAGCAAACAAAAGTATCTGGTTCACACCAGCGAGCAGTAAAGTCAGCCCTCCGAGTCGTGTCTTGTGGAGAGGTTGCGCATTCAAGCGAAGCCCAACGCCCTGTGTCACTGCCTCGTCAATTGCAACCCGGCGCAAGTAGTCGGTCAGAATAAAGCTTGCGCTGGCCGTCAGGGCCACCACGGTGAAACATATCGTTGATAACAGCAAAGCTCCTGGAAGAGATGCAGCGGCATCTAGGGAGAATCGGGCCACGGATATTTTCAGAACCTGATATTCAAAAACAATCAAGCCCACGAGGCCTGAGCAATGGCTTGCAACGCTCTTCCTCATAATCGTCAGCAAATGCCTGAGTGAAAAAAAATCACTGCACAAGCAACTGAATGACTGAGATCTTGCGGCAAAGCAAATGCAGTTGTCAGGGCGGAGCTGTCTGTTCGCCATTCTTCTTTGGGTGCATGTAGCAGCCTCAACACCAACACAATGCGTCGCAGTCACCAACAACGTCAGGATAGTTTTGACATTCCTTTTTGCGCACCGCCCAAACGCATTGCTTTAGGGTTCGTCCTTGTTGATTTGCAAGCAGCAAAGGGTTGTTTGCTCTGCCTGCTGCAGCTGCAGCAGAAACTGGTGGCACTTCAGGCTTCTAACGTTGAACCTCACCGCTCAAAATCCCATATTCGCCTTTCCCTCTGAAGCTGGAAGGCATTCAGAAGTATTTCTTTGCAACCATGCCTCCCCTCCCAATTCGCTTGGCTTGCAACCAATCTCCATCTGTCACGCAGTGATTACCATCGCTTGGCAACAGCAGGTTTCACACTCCGACTCGTGACTCCTAGACCCGGGATGGCCAGGAACGTGACTCTCTTGGCGCGCTGTGAGTTGCCGTTTCAGAGAAGGAATGGCCTTCCAGGCTGACGCGCGAAAAGATTTTTCATTTTCCTGCTACTGGCACGTGATGCATGAAGGGGGCCCCCGCAAACCATAGAGGGTGAACAACAGCCGATCTTTTCGTGGCCCCCAACTCCTGCAAGACCCTGGCCTTCGGAGTCCCAAGGTCGTCTGGTGCGCGACGAGGGTTTCCTGCCTGGGAGCCAAAGCGAGGTCAAATCCGAATTGCCATGGTTCGCATCCAGTCAAGGGCCTTTCAAGTCTGCATGCTCCCGCCGCACGGCTTTGCACGCTCCCGCCAGGACAGTCAACACACAGAAAGTGTAGCTGGAGCAAATCGTGTTGGAATCTAGTTTAAACCGTGTGGGAATGTGACTGGATTGGCACGTAGTTGAGGGACGACTTGCGATATGAGTTCAAACTTGGCAGCAGGTCAAAAGCGGTCACATGGGTGATGGAGGAATGGGGGAGGGGAAATTGACGGGAGGTGTCCTTTTTGAAAATTCCTTTCAAGGCTGCACAATGCTTCAGTTCTGAAAAGTTGTGAAAGAGCCAGCATGGCACCGAAGAAGAGGGCAGAGGTCAAATGCATGAGGTGGGCATTGTATCACGCGCATGGCCTCATGGCGCAGCAGAATAGCAGAATATCGTGCCCTTTTTTTGCCCGTTCGATCAATGTATTCATAAAGCTGGCCCATTTCCAGGGGCCAAAAAACCACGACGATTGTTTGCGACGATGTTTTTTCCCTAAAAACACTTGTCGCAACTACTGTTTGACAAAACACGGGTATGCAAAACACTTGTCGCAACTACTGTTTGACAAAACACGGGTATGCAAAACACTTGTCGCAACTACTGTTTGACAAAACACGGGTATGCAAAACACTTGTCGCAACTACTGTTTGACAAAACACGGGTATGCAAAACACTTGTCGCAACTACTGTTTGACAAAACGGGTATGCAAAACACTTGTCGCAACTACTGTTTGACAAAACACGGGTATGCAAAACACTTGTCGCAACTACTGTTTGACAAAACACGGGTATGCAAAACACTTGTCGCAACTACTGTTTGACAAAACACGGGTATGCAAAACACTTGTCGCAACTACTGTTTGACAAAACACGGGTATGCAAAACACTTGTCGCAACTACTGTTTGACAAAACACGGGTATGCAAAACACTTGTCGCAACTACTGTTTGACAAAACACGGGTATGCAAAACACTTGTCGCAACTACTGTTGACAAAACACGGGTATGCAAAACACTTGTCGCAACTACTGTTTGACAAAACACGGGTATGCAAAACACTTGTCGCAACTACTGTTTGACAAAACACGGGTGTGCAAAACACTTGTCGCAACTACTGTTTGTCAAAACACGGGTATGCAAAACACTTGTCGCAACTACTGTTTGACAAAACACGGGTATGCAAAAC